GGGAGGGGGGGGGGGGGGGGGGGCGTGTTATTGAATAGTATTTGGGAATATTTGGGAAGCAAGGTATGTTTCGGTGCTTGAACACAGGTGGCCGTTTGAGTTCCTAGTTGACAGAGTGCTAGGAAGCTCTCTAATATGTATCGTACCCGGTGTTCAATTTTTGTTGACGTCTTCATCTTTGCTGCCTGATGACTTGTGTAGTGCTGTAGTTTACTTGTGGATCCATAAGCTCAAAATGGAAAGAGCACCCAAACAGTGGTTTATATGTTTGGGAGGATGGTGGTTCGACTCCACCTGGGTCCTTATAGTGTTAATAGTTAACTATTTAATACGAGGGTGGCAGCTCTAATGAATGCTATGGACGTGTGTGTGGTCTAAATTGAGGGCTGCTTTTGTTCTGTTGTTTCTTTCATTGAAGGCCTTATTTTTGGGTGTTGTAATTGCAAGGGCATTTTCAAATTTTGCCCTAATTCCTGACTTCAATTTTTACTCCAATGAAAGAGACTCTTTTGAATGGTTAAATTTTACTCTTTCAAAAGATTTAAATGTAACATTTTAAATTTGAATTTGTCTGATTTTAAATGAGTTTGTCTGGTTGATCTTGTATTAAATTAAGTTTTTTATTCAAATGTTAATTAAAATTTGAGTCAAACATCACAGATGGCTTAACGTGGGGAAAAAGACCACCATTAGCCACAATAAATGCAACACATTGTCACCCTCGAGAGTCATCGAACTAGAGTGGTTATTCAACTATTCAATCTAATGTATAATTTTTGGGGACCTTTTATTGGTTCTAAGCACCTGGAGGGGACAATGAAATTCGAAGCTATGATCTTAAAATTTAATAACAGGGTGATTGTATATTTGATTTTGTATAAAATAAAAAAAAGAAATAAAAATTAAAAAAATTAAAAAAAATGCCATCCAATATTTTGCCCAGATGGTTAAAAGTGAAGAGAACCATCAAAACCTAGACTTAAGCTTTTTGGGTGATTGTTATTGATCTTTGAAATTCTTTGGTTTGAGCTCAAAGGTGGACCATGTTTGCTGCTTTGGGGTCAAGGAATCTATTTTTAGGCTTGGTTTGAACTGATTTGGTCAATTGGTTGGTCAAAACTTGATTTATAGGTCTGTCTAGGGAAGTTTTTCATTTGAAGCTCGACTTTGAGATTTAATCTGCACAAACCTGGACCTTGGGAGCTAAAATCAACACTTAGGTTTGATATAGTGTTAAGTTAGGAGTATTTTGGCTATTGAATCAATTGATTTGGGTAAGAAATGAGGGAATCATGCTTTGAACGAAGGAGAGGAAGTTAAGCTGGGAATGAATGGAAAAGGGGTGTTGGGTAGTAGGTCCCGTAAGCGCGTGAGGGCGGGTGGAATAACCAATTGATCCATGGTTGGTCTCGAAATGACTCCAAGACCTTAAAGAAGGTCCCTATAAATTTTTGTCGTGATCTGAAGTTCCAAGTAAAATATTTGTTTTGCCCTCCGAGATAGATTTGACATAATTTTTGAGTGATTTTTGTTAAACAAATTTGATGTATATGAAATTTTATTGAAAAATAATATTGTTTTATTTTTGGTAGTTTTTTGATTAAAATATTGCGTGAGGTAAAGTTTCTCAATTTTAGAATGGGTGAGATTTTCTAATCTATTTCCAAAATTTTCAAATTTGTTATTCACATTGTTTCATTATATGAATTATAATAATTGGGTGGTTCATACTATTTTTCAACTTTGAACCCAATTAGGGTTTTATGTGAGTTTTACGCAACGGGTTGTATTGATTGTATAAGACTGAAATTCTGAAATCTTTTTTAATGAAATGTAAGTGCTTATATGATCAAGTGACAAAAGATTTATATTTCAAGTTGAGGCCATAGAGGGTTTCATTGAGTTCGTAAATGTTTTGGTTGTCCAGTTGATCTTCAGAATTGGTTATCAAATTAGATCGTATTGAATTCGAGAGCTAATCTTTCTTGGGATGCAAGTTCCCTAAATTGATTGATTCATATGGTTTATATCAACTTTAAAACAATGTTAGAATATTTTAACTAAAAGAGTGCTTTTTATGTGTGAGAACTCAATCCCACATCGATTAAATATTTAAAAGTATTTGAATGTATATATATATATTACTGTTATCTAGCATTTGAATTAAAGAGAGATCTTGAGACTCTCACGTGCACAGGGGTGAAATTAGCGGAGGAGATACGAGTTTCTAAAATCTACGAACCAAACTGTTGTATTTCAACAGTCATATTTTTTGAGTTATTATCCAATTAAGTATCGAAGTAATTATAGCCTATTAAACACATATATTATTTGTATATGCATACACATATTTTCAGTATAGAGATATACATTTGATATCAATTATCTTATTACTATATAAGTTTTTGGACAATATTCAATGGTGTGTGTGAAGCTTCTGCTTCATTCGATTGTGCAGATGTGAGTGAAATAATAATCAATAGGCAGGACTGTTGTATCTTGGAAACGACGTGTTACTGCTTTCTGCGCTGTGATTCTTTTATGAAGGGGTGTGAATCGTCTTAAGAGAGCGACCAAATCCACGCCTCACCCTACTATTCACTTTATTTGCATCTAATTTTTTTCAACAGACATTGTATTGATATTGTGATCATATTACTGTCTTTTAAATTTAATTGTTTTCACTCAATGTTTACTGTTCTATTATTTATGTATGAAATAAACTGTTTTAATGCCCAATAATGTCAAATTGTTTATTTTTAAACTCGTGTGTTTTGAAATTGAGTTATCCTACTCAACTAGTTGATACTCACCTTACATTATTTCACTCTCTCATATTGGCTTGATAATGAAGACGCAGAGCTTGGCTTGATGAGCGTTTGTGTTTAGTTTGACTTAAAAGTTTTCTTGGATTTGCTTGAAGAATAATGTGAGAGGTTTGAAAGCGTACATGTATTGTCATTATTTTGGCACAACTTGAAATTGTATTATTGAGGTATATAACACTCGGATTATCATGATATTTATTTATTTGAGGTCATTTAGCGCTCTAATTTGTAGGTGATGGCGTCGGAGTTATTACAATTATAATAACTAAATCAACCGCTAACTAAAAATATTGAAATTTTCAATAGAATCATAACCTCTCAAGACTTTAAGAAGTTGGTTTCCTAATGAAATATGGATTGTTCAATGAGTAGTGTTATTTGTATTCAAAATTTTGATTTAAACTTGAACTAATGATGTAATAATTGACATAACCAAATTGTATTATTATAATAGTAAGTGTTAGATTTTTTTATTAGAACAATATAAGGAGGTGACATCTTAACTTGACCAACTTTTCTTGATATTTTGAAGGAACAACAGGCCACCACTTAAAAGGATTGTGAAATAGGTCTTGCCACCACCTAAGGATTTGGAAGGTGTCAAATTATTATAGTACTTGGAGACAGTGGATCTGTATACTTGTAAAAGTGCATGAGAATATTATTCAGAGTTAATTTAAGGACTTAATTTGAGAATTTAATTAAATATAACCATTCAATTAATAGTAAATTCCAACTAAAGAATATACAATTAATCGAATAATTGCATTCCCGTTCGCTGCGTTAAATGTTGGTATCTATTGTGAAGCTATTCTTCCATGGTGTCTACTATTTACTAAGCTGTCTTGTGAGCTGGTTTGGATTTGAGAGGCTTAAAACAATCATGTAAGCACTGGAATGTAGTTAAGAAATTGTAATATGATCACTGCAAAGCCTACTCATTCAAGCTCCTTTGTTTTTGCAACAAGTACCACAACCACTGAAGCAAAATCTTGGGACATTTCTTCCAAAACAACAGAACTATTTACAGGGTGACAATTCTTTTCCTTCCTAATAGCAGAAACCCCAACCCTATCACACCCTTATTACCAAAAACAGCGAAACACAGAATAAAAAGGAAGGACCCAAAGAAACAGAAGAAAAAAAACACTGAAGAAGTGAATTACTCTGTTAAAAGGGAACTTCCACCAAGTATTTGCAGTTAGACATCTCAGAGACTGTTGTTTGTCTTTGGATTTGGAGAGTAAATCAAAACAATGTCCAGCTAGGAGGAATCATGCAAGCCGCCTTTTAAAGTTTCGGGTGGTGGTTTGGTATGTGCGGACTAGAAGACCTGCTCCTATCCCGATTCCCAGACAAATGCCAAGGCCTATCCCAACACCAACCCTAACTCCGGCATTGAACCAAGAAAGTTCCCCATCTTCACCATCCATATATTCCGTCTGTCTCCAGTACATGTCGTAGTCTTTCTCACTTTGTGGTCTGTCATTTCTATATTCTGCTACCTGCAAAATTGACAACAAAAATTATCTCAGAAAAAACATACTCGGAATCAATAAACTGTTAGCCCATAAAATTACAATAAAATAGTAGATATTGCCATTAGAGACCATAAAAAACAACCCAGAAGGATGGAGGGTTTCAAAGTCATACTAGCTTCCATTCTAACAATTTTTGAAGAACAAATTCAGGGTGCACTAACAAATTAATAATTATACGATTTAGGGTAAGAGCAATGTACTAGATGCTAGTTTTCTACACACCAGATAACAAAGATACAAAATCTGGATTAGCTACCACAGTTACTCTGTATTGGAAAAAAAGCTCGTCTAATTTGAAATATGACAATTCAAAAAGATCACGTATATGAAATTTAGAGTTCAATTGGTACTGTTTATAATATCAATAGTGGATTTAGTACACCTAAATTTTTTCATTATACATTGATGGTGTATTGTTCTAATGGTCAAACATTTCAATCAACTGTTAGGAAACATAGGGATTCATCAATTTTTCATTTTTATGCCGGTTCTAGAAAAGGTCTCCAAAGGAAGTTGAGTACAAATAAAAGCAGAAGAGATGCAAAGGTGCCTCAGGCAGGCCAATTTACACATTCGTGGAAATTAATTGGCTTTTTCACCAGTTGAGAAATAAACGAAAACAATCCAAGAACTTTAATTAACCAAATAATTTAATCAAAGAACAGATGATGCAGAGTCAAATAAGCCTCAAGAACACGTCCATTAAAGGCTTAAGAAGATCGCGGACCCCACGAGTGAAGATCACCAACCTCGTGGCCTGGTGGCGAGGCCTTTGCGAAGTCAGGCTCTGGCAGAAATATAGATAATGCAACAGAAACCAAAAGGGCCAAAAAAAAAAAAAAAAAAAAAGTAATACTAAGGCACTTAAAAATATGTGCCCTGCCCATACCACCATGACATGCACAGGATAAGATTCTGTTTGATAGTTTTAAGAATCAAATCCCTAATAGAAATGGGCATTGCTGCATCAAGAAACATGCTTCAAGAGAGGAAGCATGTGGTCAGCTGTAGCAGAGGGTAAGGTCACACCACACATGGTAGAAACATTCACCATATCTGTCAGTTATAGAAACCTTAATATGCAATTAGGTACCAGCAGAATGTACACTGATCAAAAAGATTTTATGAAGGTAGATGAGATTTCAAAGAGAGAGATTTGCATGCATGTAAGTTTGGTAATGGGTGTGAAAACATTTGGTGGCAAGACCCACAAAAGATCTATACATGGGTGGTCAAGTGTGTGTTTTGTTCCGGGTTTTCGCCACTAATTTTGTTCTAGAATATATGAGCAAAAATGTCTCAAGAAAGTTCATAGCCTGAAGTTCTAATGGTAGGAGTTCTCTTAACAAAAGTAAATTAACCATGGAATTGGCAGCATAACTGTAGTTCTACATTACAGCAGCACACCACTGAAATATTCTGCATCACATTTAGTTGTGGAAAGTTAAGCAAACACATTAATTAGTAACTGGACCTAGCAGAATTGGATTTGATTCATCAGAAAAACATTGTGAATTTATCAGCAAAATAGTGAATAAATACTCTCAAAATCCAGGAAAATAATGGAATCCCAATATATTACCTGCAGATCAAGTCCTGATGCAACATCTTTATGTGATTCAGTTGCTTCATACTCTGGAATGGGATCTAACATCCCCTTTCTATTCTGCTTCTTCCGGAAACTAAGCTGCACAATCTTGGTCAAGATGATAGGTGTCCCAGAGAAACAACCCGCAATGTAAACTTCTATGGTTGGTGACAACGATTCAGAACCCGCAATTTGTTTTCTCTTCAGAAATCCAGTGCCAGCACTCATCACTGACTCACAATTCATGCTCCATTTTCTGACATTATTTTTGGACTCTCCTACAAAACCATTGCTGTTGGTCATCTCCAGAACCCCGGAGAGGAGAAGATCCTCCTTTTCAAAAACCTCAAATTTCACATCCCCTGTAAACCTTATAGTCTCTGTGCTAACAAATGTAGCTTCTTCGGATTTCTTATCAACCCAATCCCTTCGCAGAAGGCAAGAGACTCCTTCCGAGTAAATGCTACATCTAACACCATTGGCTTCGAGAAGGGTGTCAGGGTCCAAAGGGATAAAATTGAGGGAGACACATTCAGGGGTTGAATCATCAACCATGAAATTGCTGATTCTAACATAGAACACTCTAATATCAAACCAAGCCAATGACAATTTGCTGCAGAGTTTGTACGAGGTGTGCTGCACAATCTGGAGGCTTGGATCAGCTGGTTTATAATTGTTCATTGTTTCATAAGAATTCTCCATCTTTAAGGAGCTCAATCCTCACCGAAATCCTTCAACTACGACATAGTAATAAATCAGATAAGCAGAAGATAAGCCTGTTTCAAGACCAACAGACTGTTAATATCAAAAATCATGATCAGTGAGCTATTAACTCAAGTGGAAGCCTCGTCTCAATATTTTTGGGGTCTGCTACATGAATAGCCCCATATTGTCGGGGCTTCTTCTACAACGAAAAATTTTCAGATATCTAGCAATGGAAAGCAATTAAATAGAGAACCCAGATGATCAAACCCATAAATAAATAAACAAACCCTGTGGATATTCCACGTAATAAAGAAACCCTAGTTTCAGGAACAGAATCCTTGATACAAGGAAAAGGGAAGACAGAATCATAACGGAAAGAGAATAATGAATGTTATATCATCAAATTGTACCATTTGATCAGACCAACAGGGATCAAAAACTTGATTGCCAGAGCAGCCAAACCCTAAAAATAAGAAAAGAAGAAAGATAAAAATATATACAGATTAAATCCAAAGTCTGGGAGCGACAAGATTTGATAAAAAAAAAAAAAACCAATCTTGCTTCAAACCCCAAATCAGGAATTTGTAAGAACAGAACAATTTTTTGTCACGGAGTTATGTATAAATCATAGTAAAACTAGAAGTAGAACACCACCAAATTAAACAAAAACGTGGTTATAATGATTTTGTAGAATAAGAGAAACCCACCAGCAATGTCACGGATTCATAGCTAACCACAAAGGAACTGTCTCGTGAATTTCACTTTGTTCAATTTCCAAAGTAAACAGAGACTAAATGAAATTCAGGTACTGCAACCCTCTGTTCTCAGCACACCGAAGAAGAGAGACTACTGTACTGCCAGCATTTAAACAATATAATACCCACGTCACACACAGAGACACACAGACGGAGAGACACATACACAGACACGGACAGAACATATAAAAATTCCAATACGAGCTTACCCAAAAAAACCACCCTCCCGAACCAAATTTTGGTAATTATTTAATCAAAATTTGAGTAAAAATTTGGTCAGTGATTATCTAAATTAATTTTTTATTCATATTTATATATTATATGACAAGTTTATGATAAAAAATTATTTACAATCTAGACACTATCTTCTTTAGGGATCATATAAAAACACTAGTTATTCCCTGTGGTTGAAGGCACAGAATAATAGATAAAATAATCAATATATTTATATTAACACTAAAATCAAATCACAAATGTAGAGGAGAGATAAAGAAATTTAAATACCAATTATAATGAGGGTGAACGATGGTAGTGGTGGTGAGCAACAACGGTGATGATTGGAGACAGTGATAGTTGTTGTGGGTAAGACAACGATCGTGACAGTTGTAGCAGTCATGGATGACAATGATGATGGTGGTAGTAATAAAGTGGTAGCAGCGGCGGCAGTGGTGGTGATGGGGTGATGGGTATGGTAAGGTGGCGATAGTGATGGTGGTGGTGGCGGTGACTGTGGTGGTGGTAGTGGTAGTAGTAGGGCGGTTTCAAACACTTTTTTGTTTAAAGTAATTATAAGAAATAATTCCTAAAATTACTTTTAAAAAGTCACTTCAAACACACTCTTAGGGACCTATTTTTCCTATTAAATTTAGAGTGTTAATATTAGCCGTTAAATTAACTTTAAAATAAAATTTAAAGCGATTTCAACCGCGAATAGAAAAAGTCATTTTATTTATCTTTTAAAATTTGAATTGTATTATACTTTATTATATAGATATTCAATACTTTAGAGATACAAATGACGCAATTAAAATATTAAAAAACTAAAATGAGACAAATTCCATAATTTAAGAATCTCTAGTTTAATTAACTTTTTTTTTGTTATAAGCTATCTAGTGTGTGTTGATTACTATTTTAAGTCTAGTGTTTGAACTGAATATCGTAATTTAAGTTGAATTAGAGTACGTTCTTAAAAGGATAAAGATAACTAGTTTTTAGATCATCTCTAATGAAAATTCAGAGTCTTTTCCAAATTTAAGTAAAAAATTTGGTATAGATTTCTCAAATGGAAAAACATAAATTTAAAAAAAGAGAAATTCGAATTTAAATGAGTACAAACTCAAATTTAAAAGAGAATAAAATACGATTATTAGATTTGAGTCTTTCTTGATTTAAGTAAAAAAAAAATGAGTCTCCTTTCATTTTATATGAGTATGAGTCAAATGTTGGAGAAAGTTTTTAAGAGTTTTTTACCCAAATTTACTCTTTTTGTTTAATCTTTACTCTTTTTTAAACCCAAATTTAAAATTTTTTTCTAAAACTGGACACATATCTATATCAAATGAAGGGAAATTCATTTTTTATTCAAATTAAGGGAATTTCAAATTCATACCCAAATATTTGATGGTGAGATTATACACTCATTTAAAAATTCAATGATTATATTTTATTCCTTTTTAAATTTGAGTTTTTCTTTCTTTATATTTGAATTTTTCTGTTAAAGAGGTCTATTCAAAATCAAATTTTTTACTATTTTTTTTACTCAAATTTGAATAAGAGTTTGAATTTCTATCGGATACGATCTTAAAGAGTGTAAAAAAGTGATTGAACTCGAGCCATATGATTTACCAAAAGTCAAGTTCAGCTCCTCCAAAGAATCGAATTCAAGCAGGGAGTGATTTCTGAACTCGCTTTCGATATGCTAGGTATGAGCTTTTACTTCCTCCTCTGTTTTCGTGGCCCAAATTCAAGACAAGCACAAGCACCAGGACCCAGTTCTTGGTAACCAATAGATCATATCAAGTCTGTCAACTTTCTCTCTCCAAAATTCTACCTATCTACATAAAATCATAGATAAACACACACATTTGTAACTGTACGAGAAATCTGGAGATGGAAAATTCAACCTTAGAATATTCTTCGTATTGTCCCCTAAAAACCTCATAGTTCTCGCAATAGGTATAGGAAATACTTGAATATTTACATCCACTGGTTTGGTCTTGTTTCTCTTTCTCGTGTGGTGCATAATGTATTCACAACTGGTGGGGGGTGGTGCGTGTTAAGATTGATGGTGATGGGTTTATTTTCTCTGATCACGTGTTGGCTTTACATGATCTTTATCCAAAAAACATTTTCACATTTACGAGGTGTGTGTGTGTCTTTAAATGTGGGAAACTACGAAAGTGATGTTCAGCTGAATTCTAATCAAGAGAGAAAGCTTAAATCGAATGGCTGTCAAGTCTAAGAGACTTCATTAGGCGGGGTGGGGCTCCGCCCTACTGAGCTTGTTGCAGTTGAACTTCTCTTCTTGTAAGAATTTCGCCCTTCAACATCGATAATCCATGTTCACACTACTCCTCCTTGTTCCACTTGGTTGCACAATCTAGAGTATTTTTCTCCGCAAATAAGATTCGATACGAATTTGAATTTGAATTCAATTTAAAGGTTTTAATCAAAATATCCCATTGATATCATTTCGATTACCCACATAAAAATACATTAAGAATCTAGAATCCAACTAGACTCAAATATTTTCAACTAAAATTAAATCAAATCAACTATTAATATATCTAAATCCAAACTCGGGAAATTTGATATAACAAATATGAGTTCGAATTTAGATCAAAATTTACTTCATAGTCATATCAACCAAATCAGAATAGGAGTAATGCTATAATGACAAAAAAAATAAAAAAAATTTAAATTTCAAGTGTATAAACTAAGACCAAAAACAACACAAAGGGGAACAATTGATAAACAATCAGTTATTGACTCGATGCTCGTACCTATATTTATATTTCCCTTGAGAGACTCTTTTTTTGACAAATATTATATCAGGATACTCGACAAAATAAATACATTTTTTATCTTTTAAAAGAGGAATTATTCCTTTTCATCCTTTGTCTTTGAAAGAATAGATGTAAATTATAAAAAATTGATATTTTTGTATTTGATAGGATGTAAAAAGGGGAAGGATGGAAAAAATATAAATGCATGTTTTATCTTTATATTTATATATAAAATTAATATGTACATAATATGTAGGGTAAATTATACTTTACTCCTTGAACTATTACCATTGTTCCACTTTGTACTCTCAACTAGAAATTTTCTCACATTGCACTTTAAAGTATTAATTTTATTTCATATCACTCTAATTGATAACAAATGCCAATTTTTTGACGATAAATGCGCATGTGAGTGGTATATACTACCAATAAACAACTGTCTACTACACATGTGCAGGCAAAAAATTAAAAAAAATACCTACTCATGACTTTGCCCTTTTTAAGCTCCAAATTTTATTCCTTTGACTGACTTTCTTTTTCTTTCCATCAACTAATTGGTTGCAAAAAAAGTAAAATAAAATGATACTAGGCATATGACGGGAAATTCTTTGGGATTTTTCTCCCTCTTTTGAAAGATTTTCAAATTTGTTATTATCTATTAGAGTAATGTAAAACAAAATTGATACTTTAGGATGCAATGTAAGAAATTTTATAATTAAAGGTACAAAGTGAAATAAGGGTAATAGTTTAAGAGAATAAAGTGTAATTTACTCTAATATCTATGTATATATTAAAGAATAGAAAGGTAAATAATATACATTTTAATACACATAATTACGTTTTATCAGAATAAATTTTGATGAATTAAAACGAAAGTTACTCTATCATCTTTTTCATTACTTGTACTGTCATTTATTACTAAATATGATATTTTATTTATCTTTTTCAACTTCTCATCCTTCTTATTTTTCATCGTATCAAACACAATATTATAGTGCTGGTATTTTAGAGGTTCTTCTTCTCCCATGTAATATTTTTCTAATGATGGAAGGGTCCCTTTTTATTTAAAAAAAAGAAATGAAATATAAAAGGTTTTCATGCTATTTAAAAAAATATAAGGGGATTGCAATGTTATGTTGACTAAACTCTATATTTAATTTTTTTGTCGGCTGAAACGTTTCACTACAGAAACTTGGGATGGGGGGACAGAAACGGAACCCATGTATGTGATTTGGATTTGGCTAGCACTGAAAAAAATTTGGTTCTATACTGTCAAATTGTACAAGTTTTATGGGTTGAAATACAAGTTTTTGAATTTATTTACAACAAAAAAAAATGTGAAATTTTTTTTGGATCTAAAAATTTGACATATTTTGCTGATATAATGATGTAGTTTCAGTAGAACTATTGGATTAACACGAAGTTTCAATATTTGATGGAACCTACATTCAATTCAAAGATCTTAGTAAATTAGGTCAACAAATTAGGTCTTAATAACATTATTCAAAAAGAAAATTACAATTGTTTGGGATATTTTTACAAGTTTTATGGTTAAATTATAATATTTTGAGGGTCATTTATAAATTTTGAAATTGATTGTGCTCTATTGTTTTTAGTAATGATTCCAAGAAACCTAAAAATTGTAAATGACATCAAACTTTAGAAATAATCTCAAAAATTGTAAATGACTCTCCCAATATTTGTAAATAATTCTCTAAAATTAAAAATGATCCTCAAAATTTGTTTTAAAAAAATCAAAGAATTTATAAATAGGATTACGATACCAATTTTTTTTGGTGCTGTAATCTTCTCCAAAACTCAAACGACATCACTCAAAAAGCCAAGTAAATGGTGGTATTAATATGTTTAGTGCAAAATATAAAAGGTAAATTACAAAAATATACACTAAACTATCATCTTTGTTTTAAAATTTTTAACTTTAATTTTCTTAATTTATTCATTGAACTATAAAATTAATCGAATACGTCAATTACATAATTTAAGGGTATTTAATATCTTTATTTATTCTTTTAACTAAGTAAACGTGGGCAAATAAAAATGGTTAAATGATATTTTAAAACAAATATTACGATATTTATAAAAATTGATTTGAATCAAAAAAATAACTTCTTTATAAATAAAATTAGAATTGCATACATTAAATTCTTTTAAAATTTATAATAACGGAAGTTTCGTGTATCGTGTACCGTATGTTGTTTACTCGAATATGAGCCGGCTCACACGGCGAATACGTATAGACCACGCACTGCTTTCGTTGCAAAGCCACGCAGCTCCAGACGCGAAAGCGAAACCGTGGAAGCGGACAGAAGTGGTCAGACTGAAACACTGAAGAGTGTGTAAGACTCGTACGTCAGTACCATCTAACCACATGCCCTTTGACTAAACTCATAACTATTAACCATGGTTAACCTTAGCATCCCCCCAGCTTCAAGACTTGCCCTTTTTTCAACCTCATTTCATCTTCTTTGTCTCTTCTTTTGCAAAAACAAATCCTCCAACCAAAGAATATGATATAATATAGATATATACATGTTTATGGTATTTTATATACATATATATATATATATATATATATATATATATTAATAGATATGTAGATATAAATGGATACAGGGATTGATGGATAAGTAGACAAGGAAAAGGAAAGATGTGCTTAGTTAGCAGCTCTTTTGCTGGTCTGTTCAATAGGTGTATGTTTTTTGGGTTTGTGCTTTTGAAAGATGGAGAAAGGGAAGTTCTTTTTGGATATTGATGATAGATATATTAGCTTAATCTGATTCTGTTTTTGGGTTGTTGAAAATATTGGGTTTCTGTTTGTTTGGTTAAAGAAACATCAAAGATTTGTTTCTTGGGTTATAGTTGAATCAAAATCAGTTAGCTATTTGGTTGGGACAGAGAGATGGGTAAGAAGAAGGTAGTGAAGAAAACAAAAGAGCTATCAGTAGCAATAGCAGAATCATCATCAATAGGTGAAGAACCAGAGGAACAGCAACAACTACAAACTCCTACAAAAAGAGGTAGAGGTAGACCTCGCAAAATCATTGAGAAGAGTGAAGATGCAAAGGAGGAAGAAGAAGAAGAAGCACAAGATGTTGGAGATCAGAGAGAAGCAACAAAAAGAGTTAAAACTAGTGAAGAAGAAGAAGAAGAGAGAGAGAAACAGCAGCAAATAAAAGAAGTGGAAGCATCATCATCTTCAAGAAAGGAGGATGAAAGGACTGAAGAAACACAGTTGTTGAAGAAGCAGCCTATGAGAAGCAGAGCTAAGCGTAAAAGCAAGCCCAGAAAGAGCAGCTAAAATGATTGGAATTTGGAAAATCCTTCTATTATTTTGCTAGGTAAACGAAAAGTGAATGAAAATCCTTCTCTTTTTCGTGCTATCTGTTGTTTTTTTTGTATGTGTGCCCTTATTGTTGTGGTTTCTGGGTTGAATCCTTTTCTGTATTTGCTTTTGATTTTTTCCATGTCTTTCTCGTAATAGAGGGAGAAGAAAAGGGATTTAGCTTCTTGTGTATTATTTGATTGTATGTTGTAGTGGACTATCAATCATGCTACCTAGTAACAACACCCAAATCATTTTATGTAAGAACAAACAAGTTTCAAAGAAGAAGAAAGAAACCAAAGTCTATGTACTTAGCTGAGTTAGAAAGATGTAGTATTCATATTTTATTGTTATTGTGTGTTTGGTTTGATGGAAAGTTGGGTGGATGGCAAAAAGGGGAAGGAAAATGGGATGGAAAGAAATACTTTTCATTATTGGTTACAAAGAAAAATAGGAAGAAAAGGAAAATTGGAGGGTAAGTGTTTACCTTCTGTTCCACCATTTTTCTCTCCCCAAAGTGGGAGGAAAGTGAGATTGAAGACAAATTATTTTTTTGAACAAATTGATTTTTTTGCTCTTAAATATACTTCTAAACATTATGCTATAAATTCAAATCAAAATGTACACATTTTTCAAGATACACTTTTAAATATCCTATTATATATATATATATATATATATATATATATATATATATATATATATTTTTTTTTTTTTTTTTTTTTTTTGGCTATTATTTTTGGTATGCAAATTTATATTTATTTGTTTATTTATTTTTATAACTAATTAAAGTGATATTGAGTTTTTAAAACTTTATTTGTAATAAGAAAATATTTTTATATGTAAGGGTATCACAAGTATATGTATCTTTTCTTCTTTTTTTTTTTCACTTTTCTTCTGATACTAAATAATAGAAAATTAATTATTGTAACTTTTCATCCATCGTACTAAACACAAATGAGAGAATGTGTTTTTCTTTTCTTGTAAGGATGAAAAATTTATTCCTTATTTTTTCATCCTTCTAATTTTCTATCCCTTCTATCAAACATAGCATTATTAGTGTTGGTTATGCTTTGCTCTCTCTTTTTTCTCCCACAGTTGATGTTTTTGGATAGAGATATTTGTGGTGTTGCATTCATTTTCCATGATTTGATCCCCTAAAAACCCAATGAGTATTGTCATTTATATCACAAGAAAAAGATGCAGAGGTGGATTTTGATATAGTTGTAAATTTATTTCATTGTCATCTAATCAAAAGGTTTAGAGATACACCAACATCTATTATTTTCAAACCGTGTTATCCTTTCTAATAAAAATTTTACCAAACAGTTGGAGTGCTGATTGAGAAACAAGGACATACTCAGCAAGCTCTAGTCATTGTAGAGTTTAGAGAAAGTTAGATGTACATAAGTTTATCCTTAAAAATAGAGACACTGTTTCCGCATACTGATTGAGAATGCAAATTGCAATCTCCTATCACAATTGTCTTCAAGATAGATAAAGAATAGAGAAAAAGATTGGTCAAGGGAAAATATCCCTAGGTAAAGTTCTTTTCGATCTTTTTGGAAGAGGGATTATTGACAAATATGATTTTTTTTTAATTCAATTATTTGGAGTATTTGAGCTAATTTATGCATTTTACAATTAAAATTTTTATTTCGGTGCCGTTAAAAGTAGGTTATCATATCTTTAAGGACACCCTCTCTTTATTTTTTGAATCTTCATTACGCTCTTGTTAGATTAAAGATGTTAATTAAAATATAATTTTATTAAATTGTCCATGATATATTTGAGAAAAAACTTCATCTACATTTCTTCTAAACAGACATATCTTCAATGAAATCTCTTTCTTTTCAAAATTTTTTACATATTAAAATTCGGGCCGATTAAAATTCGATTCGAACTAATTGAAATTTATTTATTACGTATTAAAATTAGATAAATCAAATTTTAATCAACTCGAATTGAATTTTAATTGACCCAAATTTTGATACAAAAAAAATTTAAATTTTAATCGATTCAAATTTTAATACTTAAAAAATAAATTTTAATCAACTTAAATTTTAAAATATAAAAAAAAAATTTAATCGGTTTGAAATTTATGTAAAAAAAAAATGTTTAGGGTTTATATAGTGGAATTTTTTGTATTTTAGATGAATATTTTTTATTAGAAATAATGGTTTAATGGTAGTGGGTGCACTAACAAATCTTTGATATAATGATACTCTTGGTTCAAGTCTCTAATCTCCCTCTCCCTCCTCCCCCTCTCAAAAAAAAAGAAAAAAAATTTAAAAAGAATAAATTAATAATGTTAGTGGGTGTCAGTAATATTTTTAATTATAAAGAAAATATTTTTAAAAATATATTAATTAAAAGGGGTGTGGTTGAAATTTTGTCAACGAATTTTTATTGTTTGTTGGCAAACGGGCACTATTTGTTTGGTGGCAGTGCCAGCTTTGTGCCACTACGGATAGCAACTTGTCGTATAATCAATACCAGTCAGCCAAACTTTGTGCCAACTCGGTGTATCCAGCCCACCGCGTTCTGTAAACCTCTTGTCTACTTTTAATCGGGTTAAGAAGGCTATCGGGATTAAGACGGTAGAGTAAGCCCGTTAATGGAGCGAAGCGAATTTTGATTTGAATATGATTAGATAAATATGAATTAATATTTTTTATTAATAATTTATATTTAAATTTTTAAAAATTTAGTTAATATTTAATTATAATTTATTAAATTTTAGTTAATTAAATTATTCAAATTGGATTTTGAATCAAATTTTGGATTGTTGCTGAAGTCAGATATAGACCACAAAAATAAAATCTGTCGGATTCGAATCGGCCTTTTGAAATTGAATTCAAATTCTGATCAATCAAAATCTGATTCAAATTCGATATGTTGACAGACCGAGTTGAGTGGTTAATTTAAATTAAATTCAATTATGAAATTTTTTGTCTAATATCAATTTAATTAAAATTATTAGTTTGAGTTGTGCCGTCTTAAAATTGTTGGATTTAGATAACATAACCCATATTAAATCTTGGATTTTATTATATCTTAATTGATCCATTTTGTTAAAATTAACCCATGAATAAGAAAGCTTCCGCTAAAATTAATCGTTAAATAAACAAATTTTGTTAAAATTAATCATTAATTTTTCTCCTCTAATGGTTAATTTTAATAGAAATGATTGATTTTAATAAATTAGATAGTTAAAGGGGTAAATTGAAATAATTTAAAACAAATATCATATTTCAAAGAGTAATTATGAGATTTATCCTATCAATTTCCTAAAAGAAAAAAAATATTTATTGTTTTTTTCAAATTTCTTCCTGAGGAGTCAAGAGGTTAATCTCTCTCTTCAAAAAAGATTTGTTTTTGTGTTTTTTAAAAATACAATAAAAGAAAAATGAGTGCGTGGAGGAGGGGTGAGTTGCACGAGTTCATGGCGCGTGAAGAGCGTCTTTTGTCGCCTGTCTTAAATTAGCTGTGCCTTTGACCAGTGGGAGGAGGATTATATCCAAACTCTGTCCAATAGGATATGGCGTAGGTGTGAATTTTATCTACTACAAACACAATCGAATTTGACACAAAAATAAAAAAATTATGTTAGATATATTTAAAAATAAATTTGATATTTATAATCATTGAATAGATAGTAGGGTCTATTAAATACTCAGTGAAAGAATAATGCTACACAAATTTAAAAAGTAAACTTGATAATTACAACCATTGAATAGATAATGAATTTCTATAAATGTTAGGACCCACAATAAAATCAATGGTTATAATTTTCAAGTCTATTTTTTAACTCCATGTAGCATTACTCCACAGTGAAATCAATGATTGTAATTATCCAGTCTAATTTTTAAGTCCATGTAACATTACTCAAAATAAAAAATAATTCGATTAATTGACACTAATAAATGGGTCAAATAAGGTTAAACATGATTAATTAATATTGTAGATATAAAATAAGTATTTAACAAATATTGTAAATAAAAAATAAATATTTTATAATTTTTAAATAATATTATACGAATTGAACAAATTTTTATTAAAATAAATATTATCACAAATTCGAAACCCTAAAAGAAGGGCTAAACCAATGTGTCTGGTATTTTAAAGTGAGTATTATAAGACTTTAAGATGACACATTGGAACTTCTTTTGTCTCTATTCCCTATAAAAATGCCTGATCAAATAATTATCTCCAGGGTGCACTCCATTGTGCCGATGGGTGATCAATGGTTGTGAGGGTGCAAAGGGACGACAATCAAATTGTATCATGTATGCTCGGTGGGTTTGTGTCTCTTCGATTTTTCTGTCAAGTATTAATTTTTTTTTGTTTAATATATTAATTAATTGTGTCTTAATTCATTTAATTAATCGTGTTAAATACATTAAGGGATTATTTGATAAAAAAGCACGTGGAGCTTGACAAAATGAGTTTACGAAAAATAGTTCAAAGGACTTCCAAATCACATGTTTAGATTGAAAGTTCAATTCCAGGTTTTCAAATTCAGCTCGTAACTGGTCCGAAGATTAAACCCATGATCATGGATTTCGTTAAACCTAAGGGAGAGGTGAGTTTGGAAAAATGGATAAAGGGTCAAGGATATAAAAGACAATTATACCCTTTAACATGAGTATAATGGATTGATCAAGGATAAAATAATCATTTATAGGACAAATAATTGTTAATAATTATAATATATCGATAGGTCCTATTTTTGCATGTGTTGCATATTACCACATGAGTATGAATCGAATTGAGTGTTAAATCTCGTCTTTGTGAAGAGAGATTTTACTTTGAAAGAATGTAGAAAAATCAATATAAAATCCTATCCAAAATTCATCCAAACAAACCCAAATTGTCTTTGATTTGAATTAATCTGCATAACCAGTAAACCAAGGTAGTAAGATTATGATCTTTTTTCCTTTCATGTAAATCCACGACCAACAAAGTGTCCATGACCAAAATGTTTACTCAATGCACGTGCTAATATATGCCATATCTAAAAATAATAAAGAAGGGTTAATTATAAATTACGTCCCGAAAAATCGTTCGAATTTCAATTTACATTCTCATATATCAAAAATTTTAATTTGTACCCTTAAAGATAGAAATTTATATCAATGTACACCCCTAAAGATAAAAAATCTCAATTTACACACTCAAAGATAGAAATTTATATCAATGTGCACTCCTAAAGATAAAAAATCTCAATTTACACCCTCAAAAATAGAAATTTATATTAATGTGCACTTAAAACTAAATTGATAAATTATACCTAGATCTCCTGATGCTTGTCACTTAATCATTTGAACCCCTTCACATTTAGAATATTACTCTTACATCTCATGACGTTTGTACATGTGTAACACGTATTCCATTTTTGTTGATATCTGTTAATATAATCGTTAAAAAAAATATGATTTTATCCTAATAAAAAATTATAATTTCATATTACCCTTTATTTTATGGGTCCGATATACTTTAAAATTCAAAATCAAGTTTATTATTTGAATGTCCAATACAATAAAGGGTTGCACAAAACACTATATGGTATAAAGACACCACCCCAAAATTTTAAGATTGTTTTAATCCTTTATTATTTGTTATAAATTCAGATAAAGAAAAAGAAAAAAAATTATAACTAGACATAGACCTCATTTGAAGAACAGAAAATCATAGTTTTTTTTTTATAAAAATAGAAGATTTAAGAAATAAAATGTCAAGTTTTTTAAAATTTGTATGTAGAAAGAGTTTAGAATTTTAAGAAGAATCAGTGGCATAAAATTGTATTACCGATAATTTTTAACTCAAAAAAATTAAAGAAAATTTTGATGAGTATACTTAGGGTTTATATGGTATGAAAAATGGATGAAATTAGGGTTTTGAAAAATACAAGAAATTAAGAAGATAGAAAATGAAATGGAAAAAATTTTACTTATAGGCCTTCAAGTGATTTGTGAAAACTTTGGTGGTGATCGAGGATGGAAGCAATGTAGTAGAGAGAGGCAAGAAATGACAGATGTTTTTTTGGTTTTGAATAAGTTAAAAAAGTTACCGTTAGAAATTTAGTATAGAATTTGAGTCTGCTTCAATTTTGGTGCAGAATAAATTTTGTCTTAATTTGGTATAGGTTTGATTATAAGGTTGGAGAAGTTTTTTGAATTATTTTGACTCATTTAAATTTGAGTTTACATTTGAGTTAAGGTTGAAGATGCTCTTATAATTAAATGAGATTAAAACATGATAGAAAATTTTAAAATTAATCTTATTATTATGTTAGGATTGATTCTAAATAATTTTATTTTAGTGTAATCTCATCACATTAAATTATAAAACCCTCTTTTATTTTGTAATAACTTCGACACGAAAAAAAAAAAATTGACATTGTAATCATGTGAGAACAACGACCAAATCAATCCCCACTTTCAAATAAAAGACAATCAATGGAACATAATAATAGAAAAAAATAAAAAAATTTATGTGTCGCAGTAATTTGCCTATGTTTACGATCCTAGAGTGACTGTCTTGTTTTTATTCCACATTGAATTAGAATTACATCTTAATTTATATATGCTACAACCTTAATTAAGACATCCCAAAGGCACGTGCTATTCCATGCGCCATGCTTCAACAACAAATCTATTATTCTCTTGGGCCTAATGTAAGTCTTCATATTCTGAATATGAGTCACCTATTTTAACATATATCTAAATTTTATTATTTTAATATAAATTTTTATAATTTTTTTGAGTTATTTTATAATAATTTTTTTTATAATTTCTGTGGATAATTTATTATTTTTGCAGTATTTGCGATCGACCACAAAGTGATAAAAACAATTATCACAAAAGTGATTAAAAAAACTCATAAAAATAATAAATTACAGTATAATACTGATTTTTTTTTTTAATGTCATAAACTTATCCCCAAATAAATGGTTGATTCACAAAATTATCCGATCAAAAGGATGAATGACCCCACTGGCACTTTATCGTTAGCCGTCCGTATCCTAGAGTGGGGGACAAAAATCTAAGTGAGTATGATGTTTGGGGCAGAAACCTAAAAGTGCCACCCTGAATACCACTTTTGCGATAAACTAGAGATAACATATATGCCTACCTCAAGCTGACAAACCCCGCGATGGGATTTCTTGATAGAAATCATGTGATATTTTTAGAATAATTTTTATCCGTTAAGTAACAACGTTTTTACTTACTATTGTTGAATTACTAATGCCAATTTTGTAGTGTGTCAAGTTCTCGTTTTGCCTTTGTGCTCAAGACCAATCTCTAACCGGCCTGAGGAAACTTTTTCACTCATTCATTACAATTTTGGAAATAGAGAGGAATTGAGATTGGCCAATTCCTTGGCTCCGGCCAACAATTTGTTTATCTTTTAACATTGACGTTTATGAATTGAGATTCTTTTTAATATATTTTTTTCTCAATCTTCTTTCTTGCCATATTTTTTTATCGAGTTTGCTGTGAATTCAACCATTCACATACATAAGTATGAACAATGCTACATGTACCTTATTTGTTGATCTTATCATTCTCCGCCTTTAGATTAAAAGTGGACCCTGCTATTAATTGAGATTCATTATCAATTCAATAACTATGATCCATCATGTCAACAAATAAAATCACTAAATTAGGTACAAATAGTATTTCTCAAAAAGTATTTGAGACAGATCTAACTCCATTGTTTCTGTACTAGGGTGGGCATTAGTTCTGAGTACTGTCACTACCACCTGTGACAAACAATTTGCCAGCTGATGGCAAACTTTCTCAATTGTTAAAGTAAGCATATAGAGATGATAGACAAAATCAACCACTCTTATGAGGTAGGAAAAAAGATGGAATCGAACAATCTGTTAGGCATAACTGATTTAATTTCTGTTAAATCCCAATAAACACCCCCAAAAAGGTATAATAACAAGCACAAAAGAAGAAGAAGAAAAAATATACGTGCTGCATTTACTACTGTCTATGTTAACAACTATGAATTAATGTTCTTATATTTCTGGCAAAATTGACTCACAAGGGGGCAAATGGCTTGGATTGACTTTGTAATTTGGTAGAGGAGGGGAAGAACCCGATTCAAAGATTGGGGAGTCAAGCAATGCAGGCTAAACAGAGCTTCAAGGCCGCCACATGGTCTTTTGGGCACAGAGTATGCCCTCTTTGTCTTGAGCATACGTCAGCCGGATCTCCCAGTTCATGCTTCTGAATATTCGCTCTAGTGGATCAAGGATCTCGACCTTGTCTCGTAGAATTGCCCAACCACCAGGCCTTAACACACGATCCATCTCTACAGCAATTGCTACTGGCTGCTTACACCTGCAAAATTACCATTTCCCAATTCAGAAAAAAAGACATAAGAAGAATGTCCCACGTTTTCTTATTTAAAACCAGCATTTGCATTACGAGTATGACCAATCTGTAAAAATAATTATAGGAAGAAAGTGCAATATCGTTTTATTTCAATGATATCATATGATGAATTGTAAACAACTGATCTGTCAAATGCTAGTTTGGACAAAACGGACCAGGCTGTTAGTTAGCCTATTGCTTAAGCTGCTAAGATAGCATAGTTAAGCTGCTGATATTTTCATTTTATATCACGAGTCCCATAAATGAATGGGATAATGTTGGTTTGTACCTTTGAATCAATAAATGTCCATGTTGAAATAATAAAAGACTCCCAGCTTTAGTGTCACTCGCTGAAGGAAAAATAATCCAATATAGGCAAAATACAACAAAATGTACTTCATATGCATAGTGTACCACCAGCAATAAGCAAGCAAGCTATCCACTTGGTCGATATGGCAGGTGCCCCACACAAGATGTAGGACTCTGTGACAGATTACGTTGTTGCAATGCAGGGGCCATGAATTTCTAACCGTGGCCTATTGTTTAGATGTTCTACACATGCATTTGAAAATGAAACCAGCAGAGTGCATCTAAACTTTTATGAGAGATGAGCGCATGAGTAGCACTCTTCAGTAGACAAGTAACAAGGCATGGAAGGAAAATCGAAAAGCAATGGAAAAAATATTTTAACCTGTTCTTAAGCCTTGAGAAGAGATGATCAGCATGCAAAAGATCGTATGATCTTGGATAAGTACCAAAAGATTCACACCAATCATGGTAGATGCCAACAAGCCCTCGTTCAAAGATTATGGGGAGTGTGTCTGGTGCATGAACAGGGACCACATTCATCACCCAAACTTTCTGTCGAGAGAGGGCAGCTGCAAATCTGCATTTTTAACCAAAACTGTGCAACTCCCTTAGCAATAAACAGAATAAAACAAAATGTTCCATGCTTTTTTGGCATTTGTGTCTGTACCATTGACAGTCCTATCCACAAAAGGTAGTACAATAGGACTTCCTTGTTGTTTTCTTTATTTTTTGATTTATAAAGCCAGTGGAAATAAAATGTTACTTATTAACTTTGTTTGCATACCCTCCATTGATGGCTTTCATGTCCATTACATTCCGGATTTTTGACCAGTCAATACCAATTCCTGTGAGGTAGGAGTTGTCAATAATAGACTGCCAGTGCTCAGTGTCTGCAATCAATTTCTCTTTATTGTTCATCCAGTCGGGAAATGTTTGAAGCCTCTTGGGCCATTCCTCAGGCCACTCAGTCCCACGTTGTTCAATTGCAGAAGGAATGGTGTGCAAGCATGTTGTCATCGGAACATACCTGTCGCACATAAAATGCTACAATCAGCACTAAATGATATAAAAGCAATGTAGATGACATTCTGTTCTTTCCATTTTTATGAAATAATGAATTGTTATGGCCTGGTTCTGTTGCACATACTTTGAAGTTGTATCCACAGTTTTCTAGATAGATAAGTAGATTCCGCTAGCAACAATTATAACTACATGTAGGTGAAATCAAACAGATAACTCAGAACCGCCTGTAGTATATTCAATAGGATGCAAATATATATTAAGCAAAACAAGCTTATCCTGCGTACCAGGTAGCATCCGGGTTCTCATTTTCCTTGCATAAAGGAGGAACTTTCTTTCTTCTCAATTCATATATATAGTTTGAGTCTGGCTTCTGATATATCTTTACACCTATGTCACTGTCCTCATCATTTTTATGAGCCAGGATATTCCAGCAGATAGATGCTGTCAGCTTAGACATAGCTGAAAAGAGCAGCAAATGGAATGAGAAAATGTGGTTTTCAAGAAGTTCATTGTATGGATGATGCAAGAATTTTCACGAAGTCAGTTGCTTCAAAAAGTTCTGGTGCACTGAAAAGTAATGGGATGCATATGGCTGAAGGTCTTCAAGAAAGTTTACCAGTTGATGTACTTGACAGCAAAGAAAATAGCCAAATAAAAACTAGCCTTCAAGAAAGAGAAGTATCCATGTTGCCAAAATTCTAGTCAAAAGAGCATGAACATGACCTCGAGGCATGATAACTAGGCCTTACGGTGTCGACTGGAATTTCTCAAATAGGGATTGAAGATGTAAATGAAATACTCTGAGGTAGTCCTGGAGGAAGAAGGTGAGGAGCCTATCACAGGTGTATCATCAAAGAATAAATTGGTCCAGAAGTCAACTGAGTTTCGTACTGAAATGAAATTGTAAGGCAAGAACATTATGAGTATGAAGGAGAAGGCAATTAACATTATATATGTATCACTCGATCACCAAATTATAAACAGACCACTCCAGATCATGTAGTCAATCCTCTCAAATGCAAAATTGTCTAAGACAAATCAGTTAGACGAATAAAGCATAAGGTTCTATGTTTTCTTGAGAGCTATCCTCGTTTTAACACAAGTAAATGATATTACAACATTGACAACACAAACCACATACTGTAAAAAAATCCTTCAATAGGAAGTGAATAGAGACCATACGTTCTGCATCTTCAATACTGTCATGTTTACTCGATAAAATGAAGTACCCTCCAGGCCTCAAAATCCTATTCATCTCTAAAAGATGCTTACCACCTGACAAAAGAAATGAACAAAAATTTATTTTGAATCCAATAATGGAAAAGCAAAATTGGAGAGAAAAGAAAAAGGAAACTGAGAAGAAACACAAACCATTGGAATGCCAAGGTATGTGGCATTCACCACAATGAATTGCATCGAAAACACCACTAGGGAAAGGAAGTCTTCGCATTCCAAAGGGGCTAATTACTGCAGGAAAACCACGCTCAAGGGCCACCTGGGCTAGGTCCACAAGGTCATCTTTCAAGCCTAATGTAAGTGTCAATACATCCCTATCAAGTAGAGAAGCCCCAAAGCTTGAATCTGTACATCCAAGATCCAGTACTATGTGTATATTTTTTCCCCATTCAACGTCCGGCACCATCTATAACGTCCAATAAAAATCAAATTAATATCGACAACCAAATTAGCATTCTGTATATACTTTCGAGAAAAACAGCTAGAGTAACAGTTTGACTTTCAAAAACAACTGGAGCCAGCATAGCAAGTGTCACATTTCCTGAAAATAGCTAATGCAACTTGAGAAACAGCAAGCTAGTTCAAAGTTTGGCCAAATTGAAATAAACAAGATTGAACGGCCATAGTCCGTGCTTAAGGTTATCTTGCCTTTTATATAGTTAACACGATTGTTATTGCCCTTTGCATTAAATATAATGATTGTTAAAGCAACCTTTTTTTCTCTCATTTAATTCTATCCTGTCTAGGAAACAATACAGTTATTTATATCCCTTTGTCAATGAAAATGCTAATCTGGTTGCTTATACTAGTTAACAACTGTTATTCAGGCCTCTGCTGTAGGGAAAAAAATTGACCAGTAAGAATACCATAGCTATTTGACACAATTCCAGAAATTTACCTCTTCAATGAATTCAAGATAGTGCATGATTCCACTCTTAATCTCCGACTGGTTCTGGGGAAAAGTAAGATATTCTCCAGACTGCACCACCCACCTTTGCGACTTAATGAATGCAGCTAGCTTTGGATGAGCTACATTCTTGTACAATATCTACAGATATAACAACATTAGCATGAGAAAGGATGAAACAATCCTCAGTGTTTATAAACTTATGTTCAAAGGTGAAAACGTTTGAAGCCCCATTAATATACCTTCAATTTGCTCTCGGGCCAGCTTATTGGAGTCCCATAACCCTCATGGGGAAGAGGAACAAGGCACATCAGTCGTGTTCTAGGGCAACTTCTCTCATGATGCCGATAAACCTGCAGCCTTCCGGTGGCACTTTCAATGTCAATGCAGGGAATATAGTTATGCTTGCTTCTTGCACTGCATAATTTCCAAGTATAATGTGCCTTCGAATCAAATAAAGGACCCAATATTTTCTTCTTCTTCCTTGTAGTTTTCAACCCATCATTCTCATCATTCACTTTCTCCATAGCTTCCTGATCAACATCAACACCACCAATCAAATCACCATCCCCATCCACCTCCTCATTCGCTTTACCCTCACGGTCCTGCGCTTCTTCATTGTTATCTTCTCTGGCTTCCCCCTTTTCTTCTTGCAATTCCTCCCCCTCTGATACCTCAGACCCCTGATTTTTCTCTTTATCAGCCTTTTTGGGTAACTTCACATTCTCTCCCTCTCTATTCTCATTAGCCTCTTTTTTCTCATTCTTGTGTTGATTAACAGATACAGGTGTTAGAGACCCCTCAACCTTTTTCTCATCTTTCACATCCAAATCAGATTGTGATTTCGCATTCTTTTCTTCTTTTCTCACTTGATCTTTTCCTGGTTCCTTCTTGTTGATCTTCCCATTTGCCAATACGGGTTCAGCTATATCGTCGAAAGTACTCCTTTGAGAGGCAATAAAAGTAGAAGATGATGAAAATACAGACCAAACGAATATAAAACACAGACCCAAAATGGCCACAGCTGTCATCTTTGCACAGAATCCATAGGACTGGTATGAGCGTTTTGCTTGGCGACCAAACCGTGCTGCTATAGCCATCTCCTCTCTCTCTACTCTATATAAACCCAATAGATTGTCTTCGATAAAAATGAAAAATCAAGCATCCAATAACAAAAATTTACATTGAGAGGACCAGAAACCCAAAACATAGAGATGAAAATTCCCAGGTATGATAGTGGGAAGACAGTGAAATTTTAACTGAAACAAGTGACTGGAAGTGAAGATCCACAAGGTCCTTCAACAGACGGACGAAAAAGTATGATTACCTTTCCCATTTGGAGTAGTCAGCACCCGATTCAAAATGAAGAAACACCATGAAGATTACGTATTACCCTGACAAATTGAGGCAATTCCTTTGTACCCAAGTTGAGTAAATTGATATAGCTGGGGGTTTGATTGGTAATTAGGTCCGGCCTCTACCAAATTCAACTTTTTTGAAAACAGAAGCATTTTCATTAATGTAAAACAATAAGAAAGTTACAGTCGTGCATACCCTATTTTGTAGAAGAAAAAGAAGAACTCAATAATTCAAATGGTTATAATAAAAAAAAAATAATTCAAATGACATCAAAGATAAAAGATAAACGATAAACTGAATTCCAATATTTATGAAAAAATTATTTTTTAAAAATATTTTAATCTCAACTCCAACAAAAAAAATTAATTATAATGAACTTAAAGTGACACAGAAAAAGAAGGAAGGCAGAGAATACTGTAATATTTTATGTATAAATTTGTCTTGTGCTTCTTCTACATAGTCACTGAACTGTAGAAATTACTACATGGGACAGGATTTAGATGGGGAGCCAATCTCGGAGCCCGGGCATGTGAGAGAGAGAGATAGTTCACAGTCTCAACGGGCATGTTTCGGGGTCTTCGGGTGGAGATATTATTATAACCATGTCAGTCTGAAACATTAAGGACCGAGCAGCTGATCCTGTTGAATAAATAAATTAAGTATTAATTGTATTAGAGGTACTAAAGTATGAAATTTATTTTATTTAAGTTTTTAATATTTTAATTATATTATTTTAATTCTTAAAATATTAAATATTTATATAATAAAAAAAAATGTGTTTGAATTTTATTCCAGTAATATTTCCTCTTCAAAATCATCACTAATCATTTCCCTCACCCATGATCCATTTGTCAAACTCAAATGTTAAATCACATCACTTATTTCTGTCAAATATTTAATTATTTATATTTTTTCTCTCTAAAAATATCACACTACTCATTTGTATTATATATTTAATTAATTTATAATTAATATATTTTAAAAAATTTAATATAATGGAATCAATTTTTTTGACGCTCGAATTTTATATTCTATCGTGCCTTCAGGCACGGGTTATGACTAGTGTTTTTATATGGTCTCTCAAATAGACAACATTCAAATGATTAACAATTTTTTATCATAAATTTATCACGTGATACTTAAATATAGACAACAAATAATTTAGGTAATTCTTAAACAAAATTTGGCTAATTCATATTCAAAATTGTGTAATTTGAATAACTTTTTGATCAAAATTTGGATAAAAATTTAATCAAAAATTATCCAAATTATTATTTTACCCATATTTAAGTATTACATGATAAGTTTATGATTAAAAACCGTTAATCATTTAAATATTTTTCTGAGCGGAGGACCAGATAAAAATATATTTAATACTTTAGGAATAAAAATAATGTAATTAAAACATTAAAAATCAAAATATGACAAACCTTATACCTTGATGAACAATTAAATATAATTTATATACATCTAATTCTAACTCTATAGTCAAGAATTAAAGAAATTTTAATAATTAATAAATATTTGGTTCAATAATATTTATTGTCTTATAAAAATTTTATCTTCTTAAAATGAAAAGATCAAATCTCCCTCCCCTCCCAAAAAAATAAATTTTAATACGGTGCAACCAAAACCAAGCGCGTGGACTATTGAGTCTGGACCACGTGGCCAAAATGAGGTTTCCTCCCTAAATTAGAGAAAAAATGGGACAGAAAAAGAAATCTAATAAGTCAAGCTGGTATAATTACATTTACGCCTTCATTACTTACTTTCTTCTTAATTGCACTCAGCAGCGTGCTATCCATATGACTAAGTCTTTTCTTTAAAAAGGCCACGTGTCAAAACTTTTAAAAATGCTACATGCCCTAATTGAAATAAATTGAGTTGCGTAATTATTTATCAGTTATATCTTACGAAAAATTTTGTTTAGATTTCATCCAAGTCTGCAAAATTTGCAAAAGTGAACAATAATATTTTTCATATGTTTTGAAGGAACGTATTTCATTTTTAAGATTCAACAGAAAGTGCTATCTCGAAGCTTACTCTGGGTTTACAATTATGTTTGTCAGACATAATTAATCAACACAAATTGACACGAAATTAAATGAGATCTTAACCGGTACAAATGTGTAACGCCCCAAAACACACCCTGGATGACATTACATTCAAAAACCATTCATATCATGAGAGCACTAATATAATCCCTTAAGAAACAAGACTTCATTTGTCATCCACGAATATTTACAACATTATCCAAAAGAATAAGCCCAAATCATGGCTATTACATCTCAAAAATTAATTAAAGAAGCGCAGCGGAATAAACAAAAGAAGCTAGACTACACAATATTCCAAAAGAATGTCCTAGTCTAGTACAAAAAGAAAAGAGGTCGCTCTATGCGTCCACCTCGGGATCCATACTCCCGTCCCGTGGAGTCTCCTAAGTAGCGGGCTCCTCGACCCTTACGTCTTCCTCCTCAAGCGGGTAATCTGAAAAATGTTAGCGATAGGGGGTGAGCACGAAG